AGCTGTTGCATGGCTGGGTCTCCAGGAAGGGAGTTCATACTCCTATATATCACATTTTTGAGTGTAAATTGGTGAGGTAAAGGAGGATTTGTCTCTTCTACATATAGGAAAAATATAAGCAAGACCACAATGAGTGGTATTAAGTAAGGACTTGGCTGGATCCCAAATCATTCTCTATAAGTGGAGAAAGCAAAGAAAGTAGCCAAAATGGCAGTAGTCAGAAGTACCTCCAGAACCTAGCAGTTTTCAGTTTAACAATCTGATTCCATGGATGTGATGCACATACTATGAATAAGGTGGAGAGAAAAGTACACTTCTATGTTACTCCCAAGTGAGGAAAGGTTGACAGTTTCTGACTCTCATTTTGGATACTGAATTCAAGCCCAAATCTTCAGCAAAGTAGTAAATAATTTCAGAGCACTGCCAAGTACCATGTTTCAATATTCATCTTTCTAACAGCTTTTCCTTGTCTTTGCAATCAGGTTAGAAATGGCTTTTTAAAAAATCATTATTTGAGAGCTTTATATGTGTTTTTTTAAAATCATATTTACTCCCTTCTTCCAAATGTTTCTAGATTCACCCCTTCCCCACTGATCCATCCTATTTTGGGTCCTATTTAAAAAAATTTCTTTGAGACCAATTTTTGCTGCTCAGATATTGTTGGATGTGCGGTCTTATATATGTGGTCTTACATGGTAAACTTACTCTTAGAGAAAACTGACTCTTCATCTCCTAGTAGCTAACGATTCCCAATAGTGCCATGGATAGGGGTGGGTTGTATGCCTAACTCTGCTAGTTGGCTTGTGCTTACACAGGATTTCTACATGTTGTTCCAACTGCTGTACGTTTATACATGAAGCTGCTCTGCTGTGACAAAAAAAATGTTTCCTTGTAATTATCTACTGTTATCTTTCCACCCCATCTCCCCCTAGTGGTCTCTGAACTTTGGGTTGGGGAGGAAGGTATAGAATACATGCTTCTGTTGGGGCTGGACATTCTATAGTCTCTTATTCTCTGAACCTAGGTCAATTGTGGGCCAGCATGTTAATCAACACCTACTACAAATACAAGCTCTTCAGATGAGAGTTGAGAAATGTGCTGATGTATTGCTATAACAAAAAGTCATTAGAAGTTCACTTAACACCATGCCCATTTAGCAGAATAATGGTAGTGGGGTCTCCATTAGGACATATGGACTGTCTAACTATAGGTAGTTATCCTGATTATGGTTCCAGGTATGGGTTTCATCTGGTAGAAGTGGTCTTAAATCCAAGCTGAAAATGGATGGTTACTCTCATGATGTTTGTGCCACTATAGTATCCTGGGCATGTCTTGCCAGGTCAGTCATTATTGTAGGTCAAAGGGTTTATAGAATGTAAGACTGGTGATTACTTTTCTCCTCCAGTAGCATGCGTAGCATCTTTCAGCACTGTGGAAATTAAGCCATTGAGGATGAATGTCCATATCAGCTTGATTTTTCCATGTTCTATGATTTAAATATATGGTGTCTTCATCAACAAGGTCTTACAGACAACAGAGATTCATACAACTATTATTTGCCTCAGACTTCATCATCTAAGAGAATCATTTCTTAGGGAAGAAATTCCATTAGGAAAAGTTCTCTTTCAAACACATAATCCTTCCTATTCTTTGACTAGCTAGCCTTTCCTTTTGAAAAAAATATTTTTATTCCTGTTCAATTTCATAATATACATAATGTACTTTAAATTATATTTATTCTCACTATTAAATGATACCATTTCTACTCAAACTGAGCAGCCTACTTATTCCCCAAAAGTCCCTTTCCTAGTTTCAGGACTTTTCTAATTCACTGTTTAATTAGGCTTCCTTATATGAGCATAGGCAGGAGTTTATTTACTTGGAGACTGGGCAACTTTCTAGTCACTATCCCACTAAATAAAATTAGTCCTCTTCCCTCAGCTACAATTTACTGCTGATAATTTTTCAAGGAGGGGTGAGATATGGTAAGTTCCTCTGCCACTGTGATGAAATATTGGCTAACCAGCTTTTTTAGTTTTACCTATTAAAAACCTTAATGTCATATAGACATGGGCTTGACTTATAATTCAATTTTATAGAAAAGGAAACTGAGGTCAGAAATTTATAGAGATTAGTCTTTTTTATCCAAGATAACAAAGCCAAATGGCCAATCTAGGCAGCTTGCTCTAAAAATCTTGTATGTGCTTTTGTTATGGAATGTGATGGCTTCAGGATGGTAGTGGTAGGGATTATGGAAGAAAAAGCTACAAATACAAATGTTAGGAGAATAACATTGGCCAGTATTAGTTGTGAAATGAACAGAATAATAAAGCAGGATCTTTCTTTCCATATCCTCTGCACTGCTATGCAAGGTATCGTGGTGTATATTATGCTTTGCAATATTAATGGGCACGGACAAGAATTTTGCATAATTCAGATACCTCTGGGGAAGCAACGTCAAATCGTTCTTATTTTATGTGCTTTTGGTCCCTTGACCCAGTCCCTTTGAAGAAGAAAATGACCAGGAATGGTTGGCAAATTCAGCAGCGAAAGAACCGGAGAAAAAATAAGCAATCTGAACACCTAATGTCTCATCTGAACTCACTTATAAGGAAATTTACCTTTGCACTTACAGTAAAATATGAGTATGACCAATATAATAAAACATATTGTTATTTCGTAGGCTTAATTATTGAGGTCTATTACGACCAGTGAGAAAAATGCTTATTCACTGGGTTTGCTCTTGATGAAATCTTATAACCACATATATATTCTCCAAACTGTGCAGTGCTATGAGCTGGGATTTACCAAGTAGGGAAATGTTTCAATATAGTATCATATGTATTAAATATTTCCTCTACTTAAATGATTATTTTTAAGAATTTCTAGAAGGTATAGGGCAATAAAAAGGAAAATCAAAACCATTAATGGACAAATACAACTTTATGAGCAAATATTTTATTCCTAACCTATCCTTTAAAACCAAATTTATATGAAGAAAAAAATATATTTTGAGCAGTAATGTAACTTTGTAGTTATTGATTTTCCATCCTATTTCAAAGATTTGAAAGAGGGAGATAAATTAGAACACAGCAGGGCTACAAATGACATTGTTTAGACAAACATATCTTGCCAGCATTATCCTAGCAGCAGCATTAGCAACTGTATGAATGAATGTTCAGAAGTCAGATTCCAGGTTATGCTTTAATAACCAGCATGACATGTTTCAACAGACTATTTAAATTAGAATTGGTCCCTTATGCTGCAATTATTTATAAAGGTCTCATTCCTAAGAGACAAAGGCTTAGAAAAACAGTTATTCCAATCACTTGATATTGGCAGAGAAACACGCACCTGCCCTCCAGTCACTCAATTGTAATCCATATCATGAAAAAAATGTAAACACAACAGAGGAAAAAATATTGCAAGGCATAATGGAAAATCCGTATCTGACGTTGAACAGATATAGCAAAATATATTAATCCTAATTTTCTCTTAGGGAAAGGAATTTAGTTCTCATTAGCAAAATAACAAATGACTAAGAGTCTGGTCAGATTTGCATAAATATCTTTACCAAATTTTTATATTTTTTCAGGCAAGAAACAAAGCAGTTGCATATTAAGATTTACTTTTTTGACCTGGTATATTGCAACCTGGTAGAGAACTATTAGGTTCCACTTTTGGGGAAGGAAAGTTCTGATCTATCAATTGAACAACACACTGTTGGCCATCACATTATTCTTGTCATGCTGGATACACAAATGACACCTTGAAATCTAATGTAGAACAATAGAACCAATCATTGTTCTTCTTTTTCCAAATTAGTGGTAGGAGAAACGGCCTAGTTTCTTTCCAAATCTGTTTCTCTTCTTCCTGGGCTCAATACTGGTACTACTTTCACACTGTCTTTACAGACATGGGCTCATGTCACATGACACATAAACAGGTTATAAAAATGAATGCATACTACTTTTAGGGTTGGCTCATGATGAATTCTCATGATCACTACTCATTTCATATCTGCCTGTTAAATATCAATGATGTTCTGGATACAAAAAGATGGAACAAATTTGTGTTTTCAGATGATTTCATAGATAGTATTTTGGGACTGTAACAGAATAAACAAGTAAACTTCTATTATAGAAATCCAGCAAGATGTGAGAGCTTACTAGTCACAGGGGTTAATGTTGTTCACCTGGTACATTGGTTTGTATACAAATTCATAGTTTGAACAACGATCAGAATTTAGATTTCCCAACTGTGACAAGGCTATTTAAATTAACACCACTACAAATGAAAGAGACAGTGTCTCTAGGAAGTGAATCAAGCCATACATAACTACAGAACATAAATATATTTAGTTCTACTGATCATATTACAAACAACAACAAAAAAGAAGTAATAAAGTACTCAAAGGAACAGGCTGTCAAATTATAAGGACACTTGTAAATTCTAAGCCATGCTTTTTGTTTCAAAAGCTTGAACAATCTGAGTAACTTGGAACCAATTACTTATATACCAAAAAGATACTATGAAATTGCATAAAGTGACTTTGTAAAGACTTGATATGTACATACACATTATCTGATACTTATAAGATACCTAGTAAATGATAGCTATTAGAGGGACACTGCAGACAGACCTAACAGATGGTTTAGGAAAAAAGTGTCAGCTTGGCCCAACAAGCAAGACTATGAGAGAGAGATTGGTATCTCCTTGAACATCATCTCAGATTGATGATAATGAAGGAGACAATAACCCTCCACACTATGTTCAGCACATTCACCATGCAGTGCCTTGAGACTACATAAGCCCTAACTTCATGAAATTCATAAATTTTCAATTCATTGGAATTATATTCAGTTATTAGATTACTTTATATACTCAAAATATTCTTCAGTACAATAGCTATCATATACAAGTATTTTCTATACTTTGGGCTGTTACTTGGTGTTTCATGCATCTGACCTTAACTTTCACTGGCCCGTTAAAAGACTTACTTCGATCAGTAATAACTGTTCTAGCTTCCTGATTGCTGGTTTTGTTTTTCAAATTCTGAGCAGCAGTAATGAGTTCTTCCAACTGGGGACGTCTCTGTTCCAAATCTTGTAGTGTTGCCTGAAAGAAGAAAATATCTGTTACATTGGGAGGTCTCTGGTATTGTATATTCCTTTTATACAGCATAAAGGAAAAGTGTTATTTTCAAATCAGCCAAAACACTTCTAGAAATCAAAAGATGTAACAGGATATGAATCTCCAGTTTGTAAGTCTTCATGGAAAATAACTGAATGTGAAATGTGTTTCATTCTTAGATACAAGATGATTTCAAATGAAAATCTTATTAGAGACTTGTCTCTCTACCTAAGAACCAAGATGGAGTAATTTCAGAGCATCTGGGTTTGTGTAAATAAACTTCTAAGAAATGTAATTTTGATTCATGACAATGTATTTTAAAAGAGTTGGTTACATTTGTAATCTCTTCAACCTGCAGAATTAACATGAATATGTATTTTAGAAACAGAAAAATCTCATATATCATTTAAGATATATTATTTAATTTAATTTCTTTGTACCTGAAATTCATTACATACAAAATGAGATTGTGATATATATGAACTGCAGAAAGTTTCCTTAAAATTGCCTATCCATAAAAATCATCAAACTTTGTGGTTTTCCCCATCATGATCTTGACCTCACTTGCTCCTGTGACCCCTCCTCCCTCTCTTCAACTGAAGTCTAGGAACTCAGCCCAGTGCTTGGTTGTGGATCACTGAATCTGCTTCCATCAGTTACTAGATGTGGGTTCTATGATGACAATTAGGGTAGTCAATGATCTGATTATAGGGGAAGGTAAGTTCAGGCACCCTCTCCATTATTGCTAGGAGTCTTAGATGGTGTCATCCTTGTGGATTCCTGAGGAATGGATGGTAGATGGGATGGGGTGAGGTGGGGGGGAGGAGAAAGGGAGGGAGGGAGAACTGGGATTGGTATGTAAAATTAAAAAAAAAAACTTTTTTAAAATAAAAAGAAATCACCAAACTTCTTTGATCCATTTCAGACTTAATGAATTAATAAAGAGCTGGTAATACTCATTATTAATAAATTCTGTACTTCACCATATGATTATAAATGTTTGGATAGCATCACTTAAACTCTAGCCCCCGGAGTCTTCCTTTATATAAACATTTTGGTGTATATGTGGTGTATGTGGTAAATGTACACACGTCTGTGCACATGGAGGTCATACATTCAGGTTTCTTCCTCTATCGCTCTCTGCCTTAGTACTTTGAGATAGGGTCTTTCTGAGAATGTATAGCTCATGATTTTCAGATGTACTGGCAACCAGCAAGCCTCAGTGATTCTCTTTTCTTTATCCCCTGGAAGCTGGAATTCTGGGAGCTGGAACCCTGGCAGCTGAAACTGTGGAAGCTGGAACCCTGAATCCCAGAACCCTGAAAGCTGGAATTCTGGAAACTGGAACCCTGGAAGCTGGAATCCTAGAATTGGAATCCTGGAAGCTGGAACCCTGGAGGCTGGAACCCTGGAAGCTGGAATCCCAGAAGTTAGAACTCTGAAAGCTGGAACTCTGGAGGCTGGCATTCTGGAAGCTGGAACCCTGGAAGCTGGAATCCCTGAAGCTAAATCCCTGGAAGCTGGAACCCTAGAAGCTGAAATGCAAACTCTAATCTTCATGGTTGAGCAGTGAGCACTCATAACCACTGAGCCATCTCTGAAACACTTATATAATTAATTTTAATTTAAGAGTGACTTTTGTAAAATCATGTAAAATAAGTTCAACATTAAAAACATTTTAAGTATAAATGTTAATCAGTAATTACTCCCTTTTGCCTTCAAGCATCAATCCCCTCTATTTGCCATCTTAGTCTCTATATCCAATGGGCCAAATCTTAGAAATATGACCAAAATATGTGAAAAATCAGTCTACTTTGTTCTGCTTTTGAAACGTATTAGATTTTACTTTAATTTGGTGAAGTAAACAATAATTTCTATTTATTAACAACCACTCTGACAGATGTTATATGTGCATTTCTTATTTTTTGTTTGCTTTTTTTTTTTTTACCCTAGGTCCCTAGACTATCTATTCTTGGGTTCTTGGTCACCCTAGCAATGTCAAGTATGAGTTTCATGTCACGAAATAGGCCTTCAGTCAAATGAGACATTAGTTACTCCCACAAACTTTGTGCCCGCATCGCACCAGTATATGCTGCAGGCAGCATCAGGGGTTTTGTGGCCATGTTGGTGTTTAGGTTCAGAGTGCCTTCCTGTATCAAAGACACTAGAACATTCAGGGTTATTTTATCTATCCTGTTTTTTGGTGTGTATGTGTGTGTTTCCATATGAATCTGAAAGTTATCCTTTAAAGGTCTATGAAGAATTAAAGATCTGTTGGAATTTGGTGGGGATTGCCTTGAATCTGTAAATTCTTTTGGTAGGAAGACCATTTTTACTATATTATTCCTAATGATCTATGAGCATGGGAGATCTTTCCATCTTTTGATATTTTCTTCAGTGTATTTATTCAAAGACTTAAAGCTCTTGCCATACATGTCTTTCACTTGCTTGGTTAAAGTTGTGCCAAGATATTTTATATTATTTGAGGCTATTGTGAAAGATGTTGCTTCCCTAATTTCTTAGTCCATTTATCATTTGTATATAGGAGAGCTCATTCTTGTAAGTTAATTTTTTATCCAGCTACTTTGCTAAAAGTCCTTATCAGCTGTTGAAACTTCATGATAGAACTTTTAGGGTCACTTATGTATACTATCACATCATCTGCAATTAAAGAGACTTTGACTTCTTCTTTTCCAATAAAAGTGAAGATCTGCAGTTAGCCTACCTGTTTCCCTGGTCAAAGTGGCCTGTGGGCTCCCAGAAAGTGCCTGTTAGAGTTGGGGGTAGGAATAAATCAATGAGTCAGGGGAGGGAGCGTAGGAGGGAAAGATTTGTATGGTCCAATGGAGAGGAGGATAGGGAAGAAAGGAGTCTGCAGCAGATGATCTGCTGCAGAAGAGCTGGGGATGAGACTGGTAGATTGGATTTGGAGAAGCAGAGGGAGAAGTGAAGAGCTACCTGTTAGCTGACCTGCTTCGCAGGCTGGAATGCATCTTTTATTTTTGTTCTCTTAATAATTAAATTAGAAGTTGTCGGACTTTAAATGTATTGCCAATAAAAGTGAAGAGATAAAATTTGGTAGCTAGTAATATTTCTGAACCTTACTTATCTCTTATGCCCTTTGACACCAGATAATTTTCTAAGGATTTTGGTTTTGGAAAGGGCAAATCTGGATCATTTCTTTAGCATTTCCTTTGTGAATAGGTAAGGAGATCAGCTTTCAGATTTAATCTCTGATTTCTTGTAATATTCAAATAGTATGAGAAACTTATTCAAACATTGTACATTTATTTAGAACATTTTTCTTTGTATTTTGAAAAAAAATTGGAGGGGCTAGCTTTTAACAAATCTTCTGCATTTCTAAGTTGTGATTGCTCAGAAGAAAAATCCAATTTTCAGGTTTCTAACTTTTATGGTTTCTTTATATAAAAGTGTGTTTGAAATATGGAACAAATTGCCAAAGACAGCTATTGAAGTAAGTAGCATAAGTAAGTTGGACAGTGCTGAACAAAATTTAAAGTAGGAACAACAATTGCAGATAGATTTTGTAAAATAAGACATATTTCAGAGTTAGAATGTGAAAAGTTGATCATCTGTAACACAGCAAGTTGTAAAGTTGCTTTAGCAAGGTCTCTTCTCAACTGCAGGATTATGGTCAATAGATGATATGCTTTTTAAATGTTACTCCCAAAACTACAGGTAATTTCAAACACTCACCTAGAATTAGATTAAGAAGCAAGTGCATGTAGTTAAAAGGATATAAATCCATGCATTCATTTACTTCTTCAATTATGTTAGTACATTTTTTTTCAAATCCTAGATCTTCTAGGGGCTATGGATGTGGCAGTGAACAAATTTATTTGTTATGGTTGTAGAACTAGTGAAAATTATTTTCAATAACTGAAAAGTTTTGAGAAGTAACCATCAGTTTTTTTATTTCATATTATTTCACTCTTAAATGTTCATACCATTCTTTGCTTTTTACTTGCAGACATATTACTTGATGCTTGCTCTACTCTTGTTTATCTTTAGGATTTTCAAGTTCCTTTGTGAAGTGTGTTGTAAAAGGAACTCCATCAACTTTCACTTGAATTTTCTGAGACTCTAAATTAAACCTGACCACAAGGAACAGCTTTTACTGCTGAAATTAGCAAGCATGTCAATTTAGGCTTAAAACAAGCCATTTTCCTCTCTAATGAACAAAATTCATCTCAGGCTATTGTGAAACCTGTTCTCTAGTTGGGTGATTCTCTAATTCTACTGACAGACAAGTGCTTTGTAAGCACCCAAGAAGATTAGTAATTACATGCTTTAAAGAAACCTCGGAAAAACAGAAAGACCTTCACAACTATAATATAGCTGTATCTTCCTGAGCAAAATCACACATTTTTATTATACCCATAGGTCAAGACACATAAACATCCATTTCAAGAACAATCTGCATAATAATGTATTTTGCTGTGGAATTCGCTAGACACTAATATTCTCCTTTTGAAGTATTTTTATATAGTTGAATAAGAGCATTCTTTGATTTTCTTTATAGAAAAAAGAAAAGATCTAAATAATGAATGCATTCAAGTATTTTTCATTAATATATTATAAAATAATAAAGGACATTTTGTGAGAAACAACACTATAATATAATGTGAATAAAGGTGGTTTTTATTTATTTTCCCTTTATGTATATGTTATTTATTTGTTCCTATAATTTCTTTGACTCAGCAACTTAAATGAATTCCACAGCTTGTCAAATGCAAAGAGTTTTATTTGTCTCCTATAGTACTACCCAAATGTCAGAAAACACTTGATAAAATCATTATTCGAAGTTATCTATCTTCCAAATTCCATTTTGTGCCTGCATCTGCTGTTCTTACCAGATATTACCCTCTAAAATACACTGTGACTCTAATCTCCATCCAGAGTTGAACTCAGGGCGTCTCTATTTTTCACCTTTCTCATTGTAGTCTTACTACTGCTAAACAAGT